GGACTCACAAAAATCCTCCTGCCTCAGCCTTCTGAGTGCTGGGTTACAGGCATGCTCCACTACACCCAGCTTGCTTCAATTGTTTTTACCAATTTTGCATGCTTATATCTCATAGTCTGGACAACTAATTTGAACACAATATATGCAATATGCAATATGATAGCCATTTTTTAATTCCTATCATCTTGTTTTGTGAAATTCTGTATCATATTTAATGTTTTTTATTATTTTTTATTCTCTTTCAAACAAAAACCTTTTTTAAAAATTTAGCAAGATTTTATTTTCACTCTGGGCTCTGTCCTCAGAGGAAATCGTCCTGTATCCATCCCCACTCATTCTTCCCTAACCTTGGTCTTTGATGTTATCAGGATGTGTTCAGGCCCAGTGTTCCTCCTGGGTTCCTATGTGACTTACTGAAGGCAACTGTAGGAAACAATATTTTATTTGTTCCTCACATAATGTGGGAAAATGTTTTGTTTTTTGATATTTTTAAAAGAAAGTCTTCATTTGAACAGGAGAAAATATTTCATATTAAACCAGAAGCCTGTTTTATGTAGAGTGAGACCGCAGATAAATATGGAAGTTCTTTGTAGAACCTGTGCCTTGAAATCTCACCTTTGTAACTCATTTTCTGAGTAAACTAGGGTTAACCATTTGCATCAGTTCTATCATTTGTGAAATAGGGATGATAAACATACCTACTTTGTTTTACTTTTTTTTCTGTGGTTCTTCAGTTGGAACACATGGCTGAACACAAACCAGGCAAGTACTCTACCACTGAGCGGTATCTCCAGCTCAAGTAAACCTAATCTATTGAGTTTTGTATGGTCTCTGAGTATATACACTCTAGCTCTATCAGACAATAGTTATTAGTTTGCCTAGAGGGATACCATGCATATGCAGGGAAGAATTCTCAAGAAAAAAAATGGATTTTAAAATGACATTAAAAATCACACCACCTCCTTCCATTATTTTTTATAAGCATCTTACTCTGGTATCCAGACCATTAGTCTGAAGCTAGTGCAATAAATGATAAGGTTATACTGAAATGCTATGTTCCTGACATCTAAGACAAGCAATTTTTGTTTTTCTTCCTTATGAAAGATTAGAAGGCTACCATTCAAAATGCATCTGTAGGGAGTAGCTGAAACTGGAAATTACTCACTTGTGTGGGTGCAAGGCATGGCCAGTTCAAAATCAAAGAACACCTGAGGCAATCAAGGAGCTTCACTCCAGAGAAACACCTTGCCTGAGACCATCCCAGCTATTAGTCACTAGGCAA